TCCTTGCCCCGGCCCCTTGAGACTCCCGCCAAGGCTGATGTTGTGCATGCGTTCCCAGGCAGATGGCTATGTTGTGCTGTTGCCAAGCAGCCCCCCTGGGACATAGGCATTCAGCACTGGTGCTGTTTGGCGCTGCCAAGCTGGGAAGATGCTGACACTGGGGCTGGTGCTTGCCCCCTTGGCTGGCACAGGGTCATCCGAGCTTGAGCGGCCACAGCGAGGTAGGAGGCACGGGCAATGCTGTTAGGACCGCAAGGGCCCCAGCCTGCCTCCCCAGAGATGGGCCTGAACCCAGTGCTCCCTGCAGCCCCGGGGTGGGGGAGTGGAGTGGAGCAGCAGCAGTAGCTCCCACCAGGTAGCTCTGCCTGGCCAAGAGGACCCAGCCCAGGTCCATGCTGGGGAGGGGCCCAGCTGGAGGAGGCTTCCCCATGGTTGTCTCCCCCCAACCTTGGGAGCTGGGGAGACAGTGCCTATGACCCCTGGCAGGATGTGGCCCGGCCTGAGACCTCTTCAGGATGGCAAACCTGGCCTGGGACGCTGCATGCTGGGCCCCCACCAGACTGACTAGAAGAGAGTGGTGCCCTCTCATGGCTGCAGCCCATGCACCAGAGAGCCAGAATCCGACCCCAGCCCCGTGGTGCAAGGCAAAAAGGCCTGTGCTCCGGGACCAAGGCCTCCAGGCCTCCCCCGCTGCTGCCCAAGGAGTTTAGCCAGTGCCCGAGTCCACAGGGGACGGATGAGCCTGGTTGGAGGCAGCCCCCTCGGAGAGCTCTGCTCACTGCTTTAGGTGCGGTGTTGCAGCTGGGGTTTGTGGGGAAAGGCCGACAGGGGCAAGGGGCTGGGGACAGAGCTGCCAGCTCAGTCTGCAGTCCCTGCTGCACTACCAGCAAGGGTGGAAGCAAGGGCCTTCACATCTCACTGGGGCTACAGCGAAGCCCCACAAAGCCTGGGAGCAGCAGCGCCAGTGTGGGGTGGGCTCCAGCGAGATGGTCCGTGCAGTCCCCACCCGCCAGCAGATGGTCTCGGCCACAGATGGCAGTGATACTCACGCATGAGGGCAGATGTATTTCACGTAGGGGAGTCGGATGGAGGACAGCGCATCAGCCCAGCTGTGCCTGAGGGGGTGAGAGCGCGCACTCAGGCCTTGCCTGTTGGTAGAACGCCTCCCCACAGAGCAGTGGGCCTGGTGCCCCTGCCCAGACCTGCCCTGCCCTGCCCAGCAAAATGGGCCTGGCACTGCCCTGGCGGGAACACCTGCTCCAAAGCAGAGATTTCCCCCCCACCCCCAACCTGCTCTCATATCCTGGCACCAGTTCAGCAAGGGCCTCGCTGTCTCCTCCATTACACCCTTAATCCCCAGCCTAAAGCTTCCAGCTGGCCCCAAGTCCTGCCAAGCCCAAGAGCACATGGCTGGGGTTGGGTCCCAGAGAGAGAGCAGATTGGCCCTGAAACCCTGCCTGGGGAGGGAGGAGGTTGGTGGGTCAGGGCTGACTGCCTATGGGGGACAGCTGGGAACAGCACATGCTACAGCTGAAATCCAGACCGGACACACTCACAGCAGGGCCACAGGGCCCGCATTCCCTGCCCGCCTGCCTGCAGCCAGGACCCTGGACAAGGATCTGTCAGGGTGAAGCTGTTGGCTCCCTGCTGTCAGCACAGCGCTTTCAACCAGGCAGCATCAAGGGCACTGCCATCCCACCAGGCCCAGGCCCCAGCAGCACTCACCCTGTGTCTCCCAGCCCATGTAAAAAGATGACCTGTGAAAGCAAGAAAGGAGAATTAGCCAGGGCATGGGCTCACGCAGCAGCCACGAGACCCACGCAGGATCCGTGGGTGCCACATGGAAGCCAGCCAAGGTGTCCCTGCAGCCTGGGGCTGGACGGGCCAAGGTGCGGCAGGAATGTGGGTTCAGGCGTGACCGGATTTCCTGACCCAGAAGTCTTGGGACCCTGCTTGGGCCTGTCACACTGAAGGCTGTGGAGCCCAGGAGAGGGTGGGTGGGCATTTCTGCAGGAATCGCATGCTCCCGGTGGGGCAGAATGGAGGGGGACAAAAAAACCTATCCCCTGAGGGTTTAAAGCTGGATGAAAACAGGCCCCATGGCCATGTGCCTTCTACCACTGCTGGGAAAGCAGTATGCCAGCAGGTCCCCCTACCAGCCCAGGCCACATGCAGAGCGTGTCCTTACCGCTGCAGTCTCCCGCTCTGCCCCCGAGACAGTCACTGCATCAGCCAGGAGGGGGACAGACATGTTGTTACCACACATACACTGGAAGGGACTCCGACAGCGGGCACCTGTGGGAGACGCTCCTGGTCAGATGAGGGGTCCCAGCACTCCAGGCCAGGCACCTCGGGGGTCTGGAGATGCCCAGCAGAGCCTTTCACCGGCCCCTCGCTAGCTCAGCTCAGCAGGACGGGAAGCCAGGCCAGCCATGAGGCGGCACCAGGGGAGCTGAAGGGCTCGGTCCAGCTCCTAGGGACCTGCATCTATGGAACCACCTCACCTGAGTGGCCCGGGATTGTCTGGGCCACAGACTTCTGCTCTGCCCCTCCCCGCAGGGCAGGAGCAAGGTGGGCTGGCAGGATGTGGTTGGAAAAGCCAACCCGCTCCTGCCTGGCTGAGGGCAGACTGGGCCAGGGCTCTCAGCCTGGCAGCTTCCTCAGGAAATTAAGACATGCAAGACTGCAGCAAACTCAGGGGTGGCCTCCCTGCAGCAACCAGGCACCCACTGCTGCACTGGGAAAGGAAACACTGTGGCTGCTACTCTAAGGCCTCCGATCGGTCCCTGTATCCTCTCCCAGGCCTCAGCACCACCACAAAACCAGCACGGGGCTTGGTCTGGACAGAGCCACGGCTGGTCAGACTGCACCTTGGGGAGCAGAGCCGCAGGCTGGGCACAGGACACGCAAAGGACCTACATGGAGCAATGCAACCCCATGGGAATGGCAAACCCCTGGGACTGAACCTCTGGCATGGAGGGATGCTGGGCAGCAGGGCCTGGCTCCAGTCCCTTGATTCTCCCTTGCGAACCCGTACCCAAGGGCCACAACAGTGATAGCCCCTGCCCTTCAAATGGTCACCCCGAGGCCTGCTGGTTCTGGCTGCGGTTGTGCCCTCTCTCTGGACACGGGCCCCACACGCACCTACCACAGGCCCCGCAAAACTCAGCACAAAGGATGGCACAGAGACAGTCCGCGGCTTGTATTTCATTGCGACAGAACAGCTTCATCCCCAGCCCGACAACACCAAGACAGGAATCAGCAAACACTTCCCACTTAGCAGCAGCCCCCGGGGTTAAAATTAGCTCCTGCTCCTTTGTGTTGCATCTTAAGGTCAAGGGTATTTATATCCCTGGTGACAATGCAGGGAGGGCGACGCGGGCTGCGGCTGCCTCAGCATCCCTCCCCAAGCGGTGCCCGGAGGCAGGCACGCGGGCAAGGAGGCTGTGGCCCCACGTCAAGTAGGACTGCAAGGCAGGTGCTGCCTCCTGCTCTCAGGCGCCATGTGCTTTACAGCGCTAATAAATTGTACCGCATGGCCCTTTGTTCCCAGTGGCAGGCAAAGCAGGCTGGGAGGACCCATGTGGGCTCAGGCCAGCTGAGGAGAGCCCTGGAGGCCCCAGCCCATGCAGACACCCAACAACTGACCCCTGGGCAGGCAGCTTCCCCCAGGCCTGGGGCAAACTCCGTCTCCATGGCCTGTCCGTAGACTCCTAGATGCTCAGGCTGGAAGGGACCTCAACAGATCATCGAGTTCGACTCCCTGCCCAGGCAGGAAAGAGCGCCGGGTCTGTCTCAGATGCCCCCAGCCAGTGGATGTGACCACCCAGACGGCGCTGCAAGGGGAACGCAACAAGGACCCGCCCCGCTCCCTGCACGGACCAAGGAGCTGGTGCCAGGGTTGCCGAGGCCAATGCAACATGTGTGACGACAAAGCCGTTGGGTCTGGCACGCCGAGCCCAGGACTGCCCTGAACCCACACGGCAAAGCAAGGTCTGCCCCAGAGTGCAGGCACCAAAGCCATACGGAGCAGCAGCGACTTCCCCAGAGCAGCGATGGGGAGCATCCAGCACCTCTGTGCTGGAGCCAGCTGAGCGGGCGGCCCAGGAGCAGCCCAGGCAGGTGGGGAGCAATTTGAGCGCTGGATATGAAATCGCGCAGCCTCCTTGCTCGCACAGGGTGCGAGGGACAGAGACGGGCGCCGGGAAGCACCGGGCGCCTCGCTGAGCCGGCAGCGTCCCCACCGCAGCTTCTCCCCGGGGCCGGACCCCCGCCTGCCGGGGCGAGTGCCAAGGACGAGACTGGACACGCCTGCGGGGCTCTGCAGCCGCGTTTCAGGCCAGGATGAAACGTGAGGGGCTTTCTTCAAAAAGCTGCCAAGGGGGAGGTGGATCGACGCGGCTCCGCGCTCCCATCCGAACAGTGCCTGGGCCTGCGCCTGCGCCTGCCCGAAACCTCACTGGGGAAACCCGGGCGCTCGTCGAAGCGCCACTGGAGGGCGAGGGCGCGAAAGGAAACTGAGGGGAGGGGAGGGGAGGGGAAGGGAAGGGAAGGGAAGGAGCGGGCCGGGCTGGGGCCCTCGACGGCCTCTTGCAAAAGCTGCTGCCCAATACTGCAGGCAGCAAGGGAGGCGCCACAGCCCTGCCTGCAGCGCGGGCGGCTGCGAACAGCGTCCCGGGCTCTCCCGGCTGCAAAACACACAGCGAAGCAGGATCCTTCCCCAGCACGGCGGGCTGCCCGCGCTCGGCGGCGGCTGTCCGGGGCCCGGCACCCCCCTGCCCACATGGTACATCCCGCCGCCCCGCTGAGGCCGGACGCGCCCACCTCGCGCGCGGCGAGGGGGGGTGCGCACCTCCGTGTGGCTCCGCGGGGCCCACTCCGCTCCGCTCTCCCCCGGCGCTCAGACACTGGTCGCAGGGCAACTTCCGGCAGCCTCGCGGAGGGGTCGCGCGGGGTTCAGCCCAGCGGAAGTGACGACACACGTCTCTGCGCTGCGACCCGGAAGCTGGGGGGTGGAGCCGCCGTTTTGGTCCCCGGGGGGAGAGCTGCGCTGACCTCCCCGCTTCCACTCCCGCCGGGGCGGGACCCACACTGGATCCCTTCGTGGGGGCTGGCACTAGATCCTGGGGGCAAGACTGGCACTGGATTCCGGGGGGGGCAGGGCTCACACTGGATCCCTTGGGGGGATCCCTGGCGTTTTCCTATGAGTGCTGTTCATACAGGGGCAGGGCTGACCGACCCCCCACCCCCATCTCGGTGCAGCGGGGTCACAGGGACACCTGCTCGAGGATCACGGCTGATCTGCCACCTCCTCCAGCAGCCGGAGGGATCACAGCATCAGTCACCTTGTCCTGCGTCCTCGCGTGTGGGAGCAGGCGCCAATGAAAGCCCTGCCTCTGTTCCCAGCCGTGAAGCTGGCAGCACACGGGGCTGGTTTTAGAACCAGGGGTGAGGGACACCATGAGGGTTTACAAAATGCCAAGTGGCAAAGAGGAAGTCGAGAGGGATTTGTTACAACGAGGATGGGTCACAACATGAAAGCAGCAGGTCATCAAAACAAACATAAGGAAGTTATTTTTCGCAAAGCGCATCCTTGAAGTGTGGGACTCTGTGCCACCAGGTGTTGTGGGAGCCAACAGCGCAGCCGGGTTCATACAGGGACCGGGCCCGTTCCTGAAGGAAGGGCAATGAGGGGCACAGGCTCCAGGTCGGAACTTCCTAGATCTTAAATGCTGGAGGCTGCAAATGAGAGAACAAGGGGGAAAAAAACCCTGGTCAGACCCAATTCACTCCCCCTTTCAGCATGAGACCAGGCAAGGTAGACCTAGGGCAGAGGTAGGCAAAATGTGGCCTGCCAGGGTATTTTATCCGGCCCACAGGGCTCCTAAAAAATTTAGAAAATTAATATTTATCTGCCCCTGGCTGCCTGTCATGCGACCCTCGATGGCTTGCTGAAACTCAATAAGCGGCCCTCCGCCCAAAATAAGTGCCCGCCCCTGGCCTAGGGTCTGACCCAGTAAATGGCAGGTCTTATGTTCTTACGACTCAACCAGCAGTAAGCCTAGAGTCCTGCAGGAGCTGTAGTGCTTCAGTAAGCTGCCTGCCCGCCCCAAGGCTTTTCAGCACTGCCACAGGGTGTTAGGACTTCCCAGCAGGGCAGAGAGGCAGCAACTCTGCACTTACTGAAACTACATTTTATCCTCTGTTTGCTGTCCTCAGCCTATAGACCTGAACTGGTGCCTCAGAGATACCATGCATTTCAGCTAGGCCAAATGAAGCAGCGAAGCCAAGTTGTTGTAAGTCCCATTCTAGGGGTGGGTTTAATTCAGAGAGCTCACTATAATTAATGGGGGGCAGGGAAGCAAGTTTCAGTTGCAACAGGGCAAGAATACTGCACGTGGTGTCAGTACTGATTTAAGGAGTTGGGAGCTCACTAACGCACATGAAGCTGTAATATTTCCCACTGCAAAAACTGGTACTTTTACAATACAAACAAGTGCACCTAGTAGCACCATGAAGCAATTAAGACAGGAAGATCCAGTGCTCTCCTCATGGCTTGGGCAAAGCAGGAAGCAGGTGATAGGAGTGCAGCATGCCACATCATCACCCCTGATGATGCAGGACTATGCAATTCATGCTCAATTACTCCAGCTGTTGGAGGAGGAGGAGATTAACAGGATGCAAAGTTGAAGTCATTCACCAACACCCTTATTTGTGCAGTTCTGGGTTAAAGGCTGGACATCAGCCCCCATTCATTCCAGCACTCAGTACCTACAGAATCCTCCATTACTATCCAGAGGCACTGACAAGGGGATCTTGCATGGAGTACTGCTCAACAGTCACCTCCCCTGACAGTTGTGCAAATCAGTCGTGCTCAACCTTCCTGCTCCATTGGCTGGATGAGTGGCATGGGGCCGCATTCAATCCTGTGTGTGGAACTATAGCACTACCCACAGGCCTGAATATTTGGTGTGGGGGACCAGTGGCAAGTACTGCCACTGCTCCCCCACCATTTTTCTGAATAGGTAGGGAGCCCTCCAAGCCAGATGACACAGCCCAATGCGGGGGAAGCTGAGCACCACTCTGGTGTAAGTGCCTTAAGTTAGCACAGCTGTGTCAAGCAAGTACAACCATGAGGCATTCCTCTTCAGGTAAGTAATGCTGCTACCAGTTGTCATAACCTTCTTTCTACTTTCCCATCAACAGCTTTCAGTAACTAAAGCACACATTTTAAATCACAGAACTGCCCATACCATGTCCCAGATCATAGGCAGGCACAGCCATGCAGGGAGTTGCAGCAGGGAAGGATATAAGAAGGATCAATGATATCTGCCATAGGTTTATTAAGAAAAAAAAAATTGCCAGAGTTAGAAAGTTGTGCCTAGAACAGTACTAGGTCTCCAGCTTTCTGGCTTCCGACATGGAGAAGAGGTTCCACAGAAGCCAATAAAACTTTGTTTACAAACACAGTGCTTTGAATACTTTCCACCAACCCCAACTACATAATCATGGACCTTCACATTTACTTAGGTATTAAAGAATCCAGCATCACCCCCACACCCGTATTAGCTTTCCTCAGACGTTAGATTTTCTGGGAATTCAGGGAGAAGCAGATTCTCAAGAGGCAGTTTTTAGCTTGCCATTCCCTTATCCTCAATACAGTCGAATACCACATCAAGTCATTATTAGGCTCAAACTCCACCCCCCATACACCCTTGTAAAGCAGCAGGGACAGGTAACGGGCTGTTCCACTGCTCATGACGAATCTCAAAGATCAGGCCATAATAGCGAGAACCTCAAAATATTCTTTGACAATCAGAAATGCAAGTAATATCAGGCCACTAGATTGCCCCTCTGCCTAAGTGACAAGATCCAAGGCCAGATCTTAGTCAGGTTCTTCAAGACACTGCATATGGTTGTCCTTATCAACTAACTCTCTGCAGAGACTCCAATCTGCTCTCCAAGGCAAACACCACAAAATAAAGCTATTTCAACTCTCAAGAGCCCCCCAAAGAATCTGTTTTCTTCCAACTCGGTCCATCAACTCTATATATGGATACCCACGGCCTTTGGGAGGGCTGACGATGCTGTTAGGAAATGAAGTGGGTCTGTGGCATGATCTGTTCAAGTTTGTGATCAGCTGGGTTGGCTGATGCTTCATAATTGCAGATGGTCACTTCATGGCGATGGGCCTGAATCAAGAGATACCATTTGTTGAATCAAGAGCTCAGCAACTCAGCTGCCTTCAAAACAGGCTGATTAAGATCTTATTACCCTCTCCCATTTCACTTCTAGACAAGTAAACAAACACCCCAACCCTTTCCACAAGCCACCCACACCAAATTCAGAGCCAGCTGCTGAGGCACCCGGCTTCAGTCCCAGCTCAAGAAGCTTTGGATTAGAGGGCTTCCTTCCACTGATCTATCTGCAAGGGTGCAGTGTTCTTCTATGCATACCCAGGGGTTAACAGAACCCTTCCCGTAACAAAATATAGTTCTCAGAGAAATTCAACACAGCACTGCCATTAGCTTCCCACTGGGTGGGGATACAGGTAAGGGAGCTGACAGTTTAGGTTCCCATTCAGTTCTACAGGTTAACTAGGCAAGTGTTTCTCAACTGGTGGGTCATGCCCCAAAAGTGGGTTGCAAGAACATTTGAAAGGGTTGTGAGCAGGTCCCCAGAAAACCCATGAAAGTGCAGGTTTCCTCTTGAAAGCTGGTAGCGTTCCAGCTTGCAAGCAGCTGCTTGGCATAATTGGAGGCAGCAAGTGCACATGTACAGCATAGAGGCTGGGTCACAGGAGAGGCCCCAGCCACTGGATGCCTGTAAGTATGGGGAGCAGGAGGATGACGTCCAGGAGACTCTCTGAAGGGGCGTGCGTGCGCGTGCATGCGTGCCTGCCTGCTGGCACTGGGGACAGTGGCCTGGTGCAGGGCTGCATCAGGGCAGGGGGAGTCGGGGAGAGGATGCCTGGCCCTTCAGCAGGGGGAGGAAGCAGGCACAGTGCTTTGCAGCAGAGAGCTGTGTGCATGGCATGGTGGCACAGGCCTGGAGCCCATACACGCAGGGGCCTGCACTACTTGCTCACACTCCAGCCCAAACAGGATGGGGGCAGCAGCAGGGCCAGGGTGGTGTGAGTCAAGACAAAGTCAATCTTGGCAAATGGGTCCTACTACAAAACAGGTGGAGAATCACTGAACTAGGCCACCACTCCCAATTAAAAAGCTTGGAAAGGGCCATGGAGAAGACAGACAGACCATACACTGTCTTGTTCATTTCTTAGTTCTCACCCACCTCTGTCCACTCTCCCTTTAGACCTATATAAAAGATCTTTGTCATCTCAGCTCCAAAGTTTTTGGAAATGTGGATGGAGAGGTGGTAAACACTTGAGAAACGGGCAATTCTGGAAGAACAAAACAGACTAAGATGAGAATTGAGCAATGCAACCAGTCAGCCACAGCCCACCACCGACACAGTGGGAAGTAGCACTTCAGTGCTAACTTGCCACGGTTAGGGCAAGCACTGTTCTGCTAGGGAAAAACAAGCGAGTGCTCTCATGCAGGACACTTGGGTGTAGTCCCCAGTCTTAGGCATTTGGGGTGCTTCACCAAAGGGTGAAGGAAGCACCCAACACCCAACTGGCACCCCAATCAATAGGTGTGGGCAGTAGAGGGAGGCCTCTCTCATCCTTGTCAAGGTATATGGTGAGGACACAGGGCACTAAGAGGGACTTGAAGCATGGGCAATTCCCCTACCTACAATCAAGGTCTCCCTTCCCAAGGGGAAAAGGATCTCCAAGACCCTTTAGGGACCAGAGGTCTCACCCAACAAGTGGAGGAAAGCATTGCAAGAGACAGATTCCCTTGTCTCAACATGAAGGAAGGACCTGCTCTTCCCCCTCCTCCAACATTTGCTTCAGAGAAGACAGCCTAGAGGACGTTGAGCACCAGTCACCCAATTCCAGTGCATCCAAACGAAAGCAGCGTAAGCGAAGATCAGGTATCATACTTAGTGGGATACTCCAGGACCCCCGTGATATCCCGATTCAGGCTGAACATCTGATCTGGTTCCCTGGCTGCATCATCAAACGACATGTGGGGAGTATTTTTGAAGCTGGGAGTGAAGAAAATGACAGTGGTGATTAAAATGCATGTCAGTCTATCTGTTTATACCCCCAACCCCTGATCCTTCCACACTAATGGGCTGTTGAACTGGCTTTGGCCCTAGGACGATAAGCTGGGAAAACAGCAACCACATCGCATAGATTACGTATAAAACGCAGCGCATGGAAAGAATCAGGAACGTGGCTGCAACACCGAGATGGATGCCAGTCTGCAGGCGATAATGAAGGCAGTTCAGGTACCGGGACGTTAGACAGAGCAAAGGCGGGGGAGGAGCCGCTCCTAGCAGAAAGCCAAGGGACTCGAGGCTGCTCCTCCCTGGGTGATTACGTCTCCTGCCAATGTCAGCACCGTTTCTACTCTGGAGAGATGGAGCCGAGGCTCGGGAATCAGCTAGTTCTGTTCCTAAACTGAGCGCTGACAAAGCTGCAGCATGAGGAAGAGGCTGAACAGCTGTCTTCAGCGCTGTTAGCCTGCAGAGCGGAGACGTGATGGTCGTACTGGAGGAAGATGAATTTTTCGCTGCAGGACAGAAACCTGCAGAGCACCAAGCGCTTGCCCGTTAAAGCAAACGGGCAAGGGAGGCACTCGGCACTGCCCTGGCGCAGCCGAGCCCCAGTACGCCCCGCCATGAGCAAGCCACTGCCGGGACCCTTGCGCCGCCGGCCGGATCCCGCCCCACTTACAGCCGCATCTCTGCCGGGTGTGTGTCGGCATCGTCGCCCATCACCACGATCCCCTTCAGCTTCACGTTGCCGGTGAACCTGCGGAGACAGGCGGGTCAGCGCCGCCTCCGCCCCCGCGGACCCGCTGCTGGGGCCTTCCCGGAGACAGGGGCGGCGCGGCGGCACTCACGGGACGTTGAACAGCAGCTCCTCGTCCTCGTCGCTCTCCACGAACTACGGCACACACGAGACGGGGTTAGGGGGCAGCCCGGCCCGGCCCCGCCCCACCCCGGGGACCCTCCGGCCCGCCCCGCCCCGCCCCGGCACCTGGCTGCGGT